CGACATATTGTTTTAGAAGCAGAGGAAAGTCGAAGAAACAGTTCAATCATGGATGAGGTTGTAAAATGTTAGAGAAGGCAGAAACAACTTTACCTCCAAATTCATGTGATCGACAATGTGGATAATTGAACCTCCGCCCTCACATGGTCTAATTAAATAACCACTTGGCAACATTTCAGCTCTCACAAAGTTCGGCACAGGAGGCATGCTTGGACCGTTTTGAGTATTGCCAAGTGATCTTTCACATACCTAAGTATTTCGTTGGAGAAACTGAGTAACTTACTACATTAACTGATTAAAGAGATATACTAGAACTTAAAGATCATACCATCAGACGTAGAGCATCTTTAGCTAAGCTTAAAGGTTTACATTTTGTAAGTAATAAGTTTTTGATTGATCATAATTCAAAATAAACAAATTGGTCTAGCACAAAGGTAAGAGTTACTTTTATGATAAATAACTAATATAATTAGCCCCTGTTTGACCCCCATTCTCTAAAAACTCATTTTTTTTAAACTTATTGTCAACAACACATTCTTTTAATAAAATAATTTTGCAAGTAAACCTAAAAATTTTCCTACTTTTTAACCACACATTCTCCAAAAATAAATAATAATAAAATAACTATTACAAAACTCATTTTTAAAGAAAAATGGGTCTCATACACACTCTTAAATGTTAAGAAAAAACTTAGCCTTAAACATGTTTGAAGACAAGTACTTTCATTGATTTTTAAGCTTAGCCAAACATGGTCTCAGGATTTAAAGGTTCACATACCACTAGACTGCCATCATCCATGACAGAAGTATAGCGTAACAGCCAAAAGTCACGACCTGGCGCCAAAGTTGTTGGCGCATATAGCTGAATCAACAAATTGAGCAAGTCTATAAACCAAAAGAGGAAAAAGAAGGCCATCAAGCACAATACATGAATAATGAAAATTTTCCACCTGCATATATATAAGTTCAATGGTTCCACCATTGGCAGTAGGCAGCACATTAAGAACATTCACAGCCCGGCAATCGCGAAACCAAGAAGGACGCTCCTTCAGGATTTCTGCCACCTGAAAGAAATGTCAGCTCTTATGACTTCAAAGTAGAATCATATAGCATGAAAGAAAAACACAAAAATGAGTTGAACTTTTGAACTTACCCTTGTTGGCTCTAGACCAACCAGGCCACAAGCTCTTGCTGCCACACCAGTGCAACCATGAGAAATAGCAACGATTCCTATGGAATCCGGACCAGGCTACTCCAAATTAACAGAAGCATCGATTGGTTAAAATTTCAATATCCACTTCAATTATACCAATAAAATAATAAAATCTATGCATTATCATTGTATTGGAAACTGTGTTCCACCACATCTCCAATGTCAAGCCCAACCATTTACTACTGCACTTATTAATGTTCTCTAATAGAAACACTTGATAATAAAACTATCAAACAAATTGATTCGATGTTCACATTATGAAGTAACATGAAGAGACCTACTAATAACTACAGCTGCAAAGAAAATTTCTTAAATTGCACTTAGTTTGACGGGAAAGGAGAAAAAAAGGGCATATATGACAATGTTTTTCAGTATCTGAACCAAAAATAAGGGAAAAGAAGAAAAATAAAAAGAATATTATTCTCTGATGGAATGATTATGAAGCATAAAGTATGCAAAACCTCTGTTCATGTAACATAAACATATACCAGTGTATGCTCGTATTTTTTATTAAACTTACTTATCACAGAAATAAAAATAATAGATTTCACAGAATTCAAGAGGCGCTGTACCTTCATTCCAGGCATTTGGACCCACTCAACAGCAGTTCCAGTAGCCTTTGAAAGAAACTCTGTTAAAGTCTCTTCTGCAATGGACAAAAGCCTGGGAATATATACAAAATGCAAACAGAATTTTATAAGCCACTCACAAGCACACACAAGGCAATGAGTCACAGAGCACAACAGCCCATCAACCATAAACACACTTACTCACCCTGCAGGACTTGCATCCCTTGGCGGATGCTGAGGTGTCAAGCGGTGTTGTTGACTGCTCGTCACCGCTGATTCACAACTTGTGTCTTTAGTAGGAAGTGCATTCTAAAGTAGAATATAGAACAAAACCTGTTAATTTTCTTTCAAACTCTATTAATTTCACTCAGTTAGTGTTTGGTGCAGAATACTTGATAATCCTCCACAACAAGATTTTAAATTTGAGTTCATCTTATTAGGCATGCTATCAACGTTTAAATTTGCCATGCTAAGACGTACCAGGGAAAATTTACCAAGAGGGATTCTAGTATTCTTACATTTTGAGTATGCTGCCGAAAGTAACCGTTTTCATAAACCAGTTGTGACACCTGCTTCTGTAATCTATCATTCTCTTCCATTAGGAGTTTGTTCATGGCCGATAGCTTCCTATTCACTGATTGAAGCCTCGATGCCTCTTTCCTCTGTTTCTCTCTGCATCTGCATTTCGACAAATAGAAAAACGCAGTCCATTTTCAATAACAAAGAACATGAATCGCAATTAAAGAAAGTATAACCCCTTTGTAGATTATATCGTTTTTTACATAAAACAATCAATGATACATCATAATCAAAAGCTGCAAAGGGGAAACACAAAAGATTCTCCCCACTTCTATTATACATTCACAAATAATTAATTCTTGTCAATCAATTAATTGAATTTAGAACAAGAATTGAAGTCAAACAGATTGTACCTACGATTCTGGAACCAGACTTTGATTTGCTTAGGCTCAATGTGGGAGAGAATAGGGCATTCGCGAATGAGCTGTTGGCGGCGAATGGAGCTGGGCTTAGGACACTCATGATAGAGCCTTTCCAGTGCTTCAACCTGCTCAGGCGTATACCTAACATACTTGCCATTATCCATAATCCCCACAGCTGCAGCAGCCGCCTTGTTAGCATCCTTGCAGGACATTGCCATCTCCCAAAATTAAATTCTCAAAATCAAATCAACTAATTGATCACAGAAAACACTCCAAGTGACTTCTCTTTCCTTCACAATAATTCAAACACTTGAAGCTATTACGCAAAACCCATCACTTCTTTTTTTTCAATCCAGGAGCAAGCTATTTCCGAGGCTACCAGCAAAAAACCCAGAATTTTCTTCCAGTATTGACTACTATTGAGCACACAAAAGCAAAAAATAAAAAAAAGCAAGAATGTTTCAAAACTCTGAACCTTACAGTGGGTTTTTAGTATTTTAAATTGATTGATCACGAAAAAAGAGGAATTTCGATATGTAACAGACAACAGATTGCTGCAACTGAAACTGAAACTG